ACGCTACATTGACCCCTGCTTGAACTTTGGATTAAATCAAATTGATATAAGCACAGACAAAAATAGAGGAATATATAAATAAAATTTTGAAAAAAAAAACGATCTCAAAATTTTTATTAATGTTCCGCTAATTTTATCTGTACTTACCTATGTCAATTTGATTTACATTCGATTATAATTATATTCTCAGACGTGCAGGTTTCCTCAATATGTTTTCCTTCACCGCCGAGCACGTGGTAAATCAGCACAATTGCAATTAACAATTTCATTGATACCGGCGGAGATCGAACTCGGGTCTGCACGAACTTCACATTTCTTCGAAAATCGTGTACGAAGTTCGTCAACACGCATTGAGGCAGCGTGGCGGACATTTCCTTGCCTTAAAACCCTCTCAGAAATTAGAGGAGGCCTGTGCCCAGCAGTGGGACGTATATAGGCTGTAACTTTACTTTTTTTACTTTTATAAATATGTTATTTTACCGACGAAAATTTTAAAGAAAAATAAAAAATAAGCAACCGACAACCTCCTAGGTCCCTAGGTGACTTGCGAGATGTCAGTGTAACAAAACAAAACGGCCCAGAAAAACAGACTTTCCAACTGATAGCTAAATCAGCACGCAACAATTTCATTGGTGCCAGTGGGGATCGAACCCGGGTTGCTCCCGTACTGTGATACCTATAACGAGCGCTAACCATGTGAGCTACCGCGGCTCTCAACGACATCGTTCCGTTCGTGTACAGCGCTGAAGATAGCAGAGTAAAAAATTAGAGATTGTGGTGTTTGAAATTTTAAAAAATGTGTTTTGTTATGTTACTAGTACTTTCATATGCATTTAATAAAAAGCTGTTATTTTAACATTACAAACAGACACTTAAATTTTATTTATTTGTAGATATAGATATAAGATATTATTCATATTGGTGTCATTTTAAAGGGAATATCATGTACTATTATAATAATAAAATAATTCTCTCCAGTAAATATTATGCTTTTCTTGTAAAACTCGAAATAAATAAATACGATTTATTTTTATATTCCCATATGCTTTATTTTCATCCTTTATTTTTTATTTGACCAATTTTCTTATAACAAAATTAAATTCTGAATTGGTTGAGCTTTTTGAGAATATTTTTATTTGAATGTTAGGTAGGTACCTATTTAGTTTTTCAGTAGTAATCGTTTTTGCCTACCTACTACTACCTGCCTAAGTACGTCGGTACTAAGGAAACAGTCTTGACGGGTCACTTGTCTTGATAAAAACAAAAACATGTGTTTACATCTAGTGATATTGTGTGTATATAAAAAAAGTAAGAAGTCAGGTAAGTATTTTTGAAGACAATTTATAGGTAGGCAGAACTAATTACAATTATTATCTAAATATTATAAATGCGAAAGTTTGGATGGATAGATGTACGTTACTCAATCACGCCAGAACAGCTGAAGGGATCTGGATGATATTTAGCTCAGAGATAGGTTATACCTGGTCTGGAATAACACATTTTTTGATACCGTTTATTCAGGTATTTCGTTCCTGTGGGATAATTTTCGAGTTCACGCGTTTGAAGCCGCTGGCAACAGCTAGTACGGATATAAATTGCGATGACTGAATTGAGCGTGAATGATGATCGCTGCATGACCACCCGGGGAAAACAAAACATAATAAAATAAGCAATCTATATTAGGTATCTATAGAGCCATAGAGGTATAGTATAAAGCGATAACGTAGCGCAGTGCCTAATAATTTAGTAAGAGTTTGTAGGTAGGTACTGCCGATTTCTCAGCAAGCGTCGAGCGGCACAGAATAGGGTGGTATGTATGTGTGCATCATGTTCGTGTAACTTCGTTTTTGTTCTAACGGTTCGGAACGCCGTACGAACAAGACGTGCGTTCCAACTGCTCTTCACTGGTACTATCTCTGTCGGGCACGATGCCAGGTGAGACAACGTGTTTTTTGGCCGCGCCCACCAATGAGTTCGAGCCCGCGACTTGAGCCACCTTAAGGTCTGATACTGTTTGAGGGACCACTTGCCTTTTAAGAGCTGTTGCTGAAGTGCGTTGCGTAGCGTTAAGCACTTTTTGTCTGATAAGGGCTTCGCATCGAGTTTTGTGTCCCATGTTATGCCGAGAAACTAGAGGCACTGTGTCTGAATCAGCAAGGACTTTTCGAAATTTATTGTCCAACCCAGTAACTGCAAGATCTTTATCGTTAATGATATATCTTCTTGTAATTGTTGCATCGACTGGCTTGCCAATAGAAAATCGTCCAAATAAACTACACATCTGATGCCCCGATTCCTGAGAAACTGCTATCCAGTTTGTTATTGAGGCAAATGTTCTCGGTGCAGAGGAAAGGCCAAACGGTAAGCAGGACATCTGGAGCAGTTGGTGCTAGTTTTTATTGATGTGATAATTTAGTCTCAAGTATCTTCGATGATGCCGAGCAATCGGAACGTGAAAGTAGGTTTGGCTTAGGTCTAATTTTGCCATCCAATCCTGATGCTGCAGGAAGGTGGGTACTCGAAAGTGACTGAACAATCTGAAGGGTTTCGTTTTGACGAACCTGTTCAGCTGTTTCAAATTGAATATTGGACGGTAGCTGCCGTCTGGTTTTGGCACCAAAAAGAATGTGGAAAGGAAACTGGCACTCGGCTCCGCCTGTTTGTAATTTGGAGAGTCATATTTAAGGAAGTTTTGGCCCTGTAGCTCTGAATCACAAATTGATTTGGAAGTTTGTTATTAGAGGCGGCTCGAGTATCAATGGGATGTACGAGCCGCTTAATAGTCTGCATATTTGTTCCGGTGCGCCCAAATTGCTCCAAACACTTTGAAATTGCTTCAGATAGCCGCCACGAAATTTTGTTTATTTTTGCCCGATTTATCTTGATTTGCTTGGTTAGATGGGCGTGGTGCACGTTTTACTCTTAGAGGGAAAAATATATCATCAGCTTGTTTACTAGTCGATGGCTTTTGATTTGATAAAAAATTTCTTTTTGAGTACGAGGCACTGACCGGGATGAAGTGAATCAATTTATCTGCCCCTCCAATTTTCTGAAAGTAGGTCTGAATGGAATAGTCGTTGAACAGAGTTTCTACGTTAGGAGAGGGAGTTTTTTGCAAAACCTCGCGATGATATTCTTCAGGAATCTGTCGCAGTAATGAACCTCTGCGTAAGGTAACAAGATCCGCTCGTCTACCACAAACTGTTTGAAACAAATCTTCAGTTACTTTGCTATATGGTGACTCCTCAGAAAATAACGTCTCTATTTTATCAAATAATGTATTTGGAGTCAATGTCTGTTGAGAATCACTGGCCCAACCTACTAGTGCTTGTAATGCTCCTTGTAATTCCTCTTTTTGGCAAAGTAAGACGCAACATTGCAGATTCAAATCGTTTTAGCGAATCATTTACAGCAAGTTCGACAAAACCGGGGGTAGATTAATATTTCTTCTGGGCATCGATAAACCGTACAGCATACCAATCATCACAATTAAAACGTTGTAATTCTACTAATTTCTTTAAATGTATTTCATTCGCACGTGGATAAATAGGATCTTTTACTATGTACTTAAATCCGATAGCTTGAGCTGGTTTGTTTTGTCACCGCCTTCTGTTGTAGGTCGGTGCAAGTTAAGATTAAGTGAAGGGACTATTTTTTGATTTTGGCATGTAACTTCACTAGATTTTGTAATAATATTGGTTAAAAAGGCCAATTGCTGGGATAAAAATACAAAATGTTCATTACTCACGGTTTGATCCATTTTTTTTGTGTCCCCTTGTTTGACTGCAAACACTGTTTTCTGACGAATCACTGCTATTCGAACTCGACGATGAAGTATGCACACGTTTTTGAGAATGTAACTTCGTCGACACTTTGTTCCTCCATATTTTATCAATAGGGTAGTTATTTATCACTTTTAGTAAAATTAAAACTTTTTCGTGCTTACAAAGACTGACTTGTGAAAGGCGCGAAAAACAACGCTATAATGACAAGACCTGGTGCTCACCACTATTTAAATAACAAAGCAAAAACAGTGGGGAGGTGCCCCCTTCATGCAGGTAAGGTAGCCGGAAGTGCTGACTTTAGGTGGAAAGACAAGTGCTTGAAAGATACATAACAAATAAATGATAATTATATGATAAAAATGAGCGGCAGGAGATTTACTATTTGGACTTATTTTAGAGAAATTGATGACCAAAGTAAAGTGAAATGTACTAATTTAATGTAATGTTTCTTTGTTTGATTCCAAAAACATTTTATCAAGTTTCTATTTGTCATAATAGGAAATAATTCTACAGTGCCTCAAAAACGTATGTGTAGGTTTATGCATTTGAGGTACTCTAGAGTAAGTAGATTTAACCCATAAATAAAATATACTTTCAACAGTAAAAGACATCGCATTACTCAATTCGTACATTTCAATATATTGGACACTATGAAAACGAATGTTCGGTGATTTAGCCGAATATTCGGCCAAATACGAATATTCGGTAAAGCTGCCGAAGAATACCGAATATAAAACGAGTATTCAGCCCATCTCTAATTGAAATAAAGAAATAAGTTTATTTATTGTTCAATGTCAAGATCCATTGACAATATATCTACCGCATTTTCAACCGACTTCAAAAGATGGGGAGCTTCTCAATTTGACTATATCTTTTTTGTAGTTACTTCAGAACTTTTTTCTAGGTGAACCGATTTTAATGACTTTTTTTATTATTTGAAAGCTGGTGCTTCTTATGTGGTCCCATATAGATTTGATCAAGATTTGACCAGTAGTTTTTGCGTTATCCTTAGTAATACATATTTAATTGACTTTAACTACACTGATGATGTTCTCATTTTTATTTATACTGAAGTCAATTGTATATATAAACAACCTTTTTAATCAGTTGTGTAAAAACAGTAAAACTTTCTTTAGCTTTAAATATTTTCATTAAAGTTGATATTATGTTGTAATAATGGGGGGAAAAATTACAATAAGTTATAATTGTTTACAGAACCATCTTCTCGGACGTGCATATTTCTGTCTGCTCGAAGGTGATAAAATGGAGCAAGCAGACGCCCAGTTCAATTTTGTACTTAATCAGTCACCAAACAATGTACCTTCTTTGCTGGGTAAAGCCTGTATAGCATTCAATCGAAAAGATTATAGAGGTGCTTTAGCGTTTTATAAGAAAGCACTGAGGACCAACCCTGATAGTCCTGCTGCTTTGCGTCTTGGCATGGGGCATTGTTTCATGAAATTAAATAATCAGGAAAAAGCCAGGTATTGTAATATATTTTTTAATATGGTGAATGTGTTAAATTTTTTTGCTGTCCATTATGTTTTCTACACAAAAGATGTACAAACAGGACTACATTTATACATATTATTCATGTGTTGACGACGTAAGAAAGTCTAACACATGATTTAATACTTCGGGTGTTGTAAAGGCGAATGTAGGAAATTCCAGAGGATCTTATTGCTAAGGTGATAGTATACTATCTCGTTTACGTCAGACGTAATTTTTTTATATAGGATATAGTGACAAACGAGCATACAGTCAACCTAATGGTAAGTGGTTGCTGTGGCCCATAGCCATCTACGTCTATCCTCGATTACAAATCAAAATGCAGGTGCGTTGTCACCCGTGAGGACTATGTTGGAATGCCTCCTTTCCAGTAAAAGAGATCTCCGGTTCTCTACGCTCACCATACGAAACACAGTAGCATTAAGCTACTATTTGACTGCAGCATGGCTCTACCACGTTTGAAAAATAACTGGACCGGTCAAATGCAGCAGCATTAAACAGGCAACATCTTGCTTTAACGGGAGGAGCTTATGTCTCGAAGTGTACTCTTATGGGTTGGTGATAAATTGTGTAATAATTTTAATTTTCAGGATGGCATTTGAAAGAGCACTACAACTGGATCCACAATGTGTTGGTGCTCTTGTGGGCCTGTCTATTTTAAAGCTTAACCTACATGAGAACGAGTCTAATAAAATGGCTGTCATAATGTTGTCAAAAGCATATGCCATTGACCCCAAAAATCCTATGGTTTTAAATCATCTAGCCAACCATTTTTTCTTTAAAAAGGTAATGTAAAACTTACATAATTGCAGCTCATTTATTGAATACTTATTCATTATTTAAAATTAACTCTTAACTAACTACACATAAAGTTTATAAGGTTTGTGCGTAAAGATAAAGCTTGCATTATAAAAATGTCAAGTTTTAATTCATGTTAGGCTAGTATTTACAATAATCTATACTTATTTCGTATTAACACATAAAAGTGACTAAAAACCAAAAATTATGGATTAAAGAAATAAAAGTATGATGATTTTTTTATATTTAAGCGAATATTACGCATTAAATGAAATTAATTTTAAGGATACCTTTTTTTACGGTTTTTGAATATTAACATTTAAAAACTGAAAATAACCTTAGTCCCCCCCCCCCGTGACCACACCCGAAATGTCGAGAGTTATAATTAAAATATGCGAAAAAGTTCGTAAAATTAGGTTCATTTAATAAAAATATATAAATATAACTCGGCTGGGCAGTAATAAATATAACTCGGCTGGGCAGCGTTCGGGAAATTACGACACATCTTCTCGTCAGGTATACCTCAATCTCTGAAAACTAAAGTGTATACCATGTGTGTATGTACCAGTGCGTGTTGCCAGTGATGACTTACGGATCTGAGACGTGGTCCTTCACCGCTGGCCGTATGAGGACGCTCAAGGTCGCTCAGCGAGCTATGGAGAGGGCTATGCTCGGAGTTTCACTGCGTGATAGACTCAGAAATGAGGATATCCGCAGTAAAACCAGAGTGACCGACATAGCCCAACGGATTAGTAAGCTGAAGTGGCAATGGGCCGGCCATATAGCTCGAAGAACCGATAACCGATGGGGAAGAAAGGTTCTCGAGTGGCAGCCTCGTACCGGTAGGCGAAGTATAGGGCGACCCCCCACTAGGTGAAGTGACGACCTGGTAAGGCATGCAGGAAGTCGATGGATGCAGGTGGCTCAGGACCGTGCTTTGTGGCATTACTTGGGGAAGCCCTATGTTCAGCAGTGGACTTGTGAAGGGCTTTAATGATGATGATGATGATGAATAAAAATATTCTTTCTTCATTCTTTATATAATTTATCCTTTTGTTAATGTATTGTATCAGTATTTAATAAATGGTATATTTTTGTAGGACTACGGCAAGGTGCTTCACTTAGCTATGCATGCTTTTCACAACACAGAGAATGAAGCGATGCGGGCTGAGAGTTGTCATCATCTCGCCCGCGCATTTCACGCTCAAGGGGATTGCGACCAAGCCTTTCAATATTATTACCAGGCCACACAGTTTGCACCACCTAACTTTGTGTTGCCCCATTATGGCCTTGGACAAATGTATATTTATAGAGGGGACACTGAAAATGTAAATTACTTCATTTAAATATTCTGATTTCATTATTATTATTTTAGATTTGAGAAATAAAGTCTTATAAAAAAAAATATTTTCTAGGCTGCACAATGCTTTGAAAAAGTTTTAAAAGCACAGCCGGGAAACTATGAAACAATGAAAATATTGGGCTCGCTGTACGCAAACTCGCCGTCCCAATCGAAGCGCGACATTGCACGCCAGCACTTGAAAAAGGTCACAGAACAGTTTCCGGATGACGTCGAAGCCTGGATTGAATTAGCACAGATATTAGAACAGAATGATTTACAGGTAAATTAAAATGTATCGATGTCTTTAAAAATAATTAGGTCAGATATTAGAACAGTGATTTACAGGTAACTTAAATGTATCGAGTTTAAAAAAATAATAGCACAAATATTAGAACAGTGATTTACAGGTAACTTAAATGTTTCGACATTTTTAAAACAATGATTAGCACAGATATTAAAACAGTAATTTATGGATAACTTAAATGTGTCATGTTTAAAAAAATAATTATCACAGATATTAGAACAAAGTGATTTACAGGTAACTTAAATGTATCGACATTTTAAAAACAATGATTAGCACAGATATTAAAACAGTAATTTACGGATAGCTTAAATGTATCGAGTTTAAAAAAATAATTAGCACAGATATTAGGACAGAGTGATTTACAGTTAACTTAAATGTATCGAGTTTAAAAAAATAATTAGCACAGATATTAGAACAGTGATTTACAGGTAACTTAAATGTATCGACATTTTAAAAACAATGATTAGCACAGATATTAAAACAGTAATTTACGGATAACTTAAATGTATCGAGTTTAAAAAAATAATTATCACAGATATTAGAACAGAGTGATTTACAGGTAACTTAAATGTATCGACATTTTAAAAACAATGATTAGCACAGATATTAAAACAGTAATTTACGGATAGCTTAAATGTATCAAAATAATTAGCACAGATGTTAGGACAGAGTGATTTACAGTTAACTTAAATGTATCGAGTTTAAAAAAATAATTAGCACAGATATTAGCTCAGTGATTTACAGGTAACTTAAATGTATCGACATTTTAAAAACAATGATGAGTACAGATATTATCCTGTTAACCAAGCCTAGCTCACCTTCGATCGCGCAGTACCAACCTTACGCCCGCCAAGTAGTGATCGAATTAGATCAGAATTATGTAAACATGTCTACCTATGAAAAAACTATTTTTTCGTTTTAAACAAAACCAAAGACACTATGCAATAGATATTAGTATCAAAGACAAAGATATGCTCTTTTATTTTAAACCATAACCTGGCAATGTTTCTTAGAAAAAAAAAAAGAAATCACTCTGAACTTCCGGCGTTCCACGTGTCACTTTGTTGAAGGTGCTCCGTCTTTTTTATAGAATTTTATATTTGTGTGTGGACTAAAAACGAAAGTATTATACTTTTTTATATTCCTTGTAATATAGTGAACATATATATATATATATATAATTTGTGGTATAAAAAGTGAAAAGTAAATTGCCAAAAGTGCTTCAAAATCTGGAAGGCCCATTATGGCGGCTGGGTCATAAATGTGGTATTTTTCACATTCTCATTTATTTTTAGTGTAAAATGTAAGTAAAAATAGTTTTCTTACATATTTCAAATAACTTGACGTTGTATTTATTTCAAATTCACACAAAACTATTTTAGAAATATTGTTCTAAATGTCACACAGATAAAATATTATTATTTAATTTTTTTAATTTCTTTATATTTTAATATTTTGGTATGAGTAACGAATGGAAACACATAAAACATAAAAATATACATATTTCCAAACAATTTGATATAAATTTCTCCAAAAACAAAAGTGTAGAATTCAAATTAGTAGTAATTTTGTCACTAAAATTGAAGTATATGCTACTACTATGCTATACAGGGTAATTTACGTATTTTATTACAATTTCTAGCAACCAAAAATAATTTTATTCGATAGTTTATACATTCAACAAGAATTCCTGTAAGTTTTATCCATAAATATTGTCTCAAAGTGAAAATATAGCAAAATTTGCAATATAGCAAAGAATTTGCTAACTTACAAATTTTCCCGCCAAAAAAGGTCCCGAGTGAACGGGAGTATAACATGGCGCGCGCTCGCTTGGCGAACAGGTTAAAACAGTAATTTACGCGTAGACAGAGAAACCTATAGACAAATTGACGCCTTCTTTCGCATTCGCACACGAAAAAGATAGATTTATGCATACGTCTTGCATAGAAATGAGATAGAGCGGTGTGATTGTTTGTCCCTTTCTCCGTGCCGGTTTTTTTGTTTAGCAAAGTCTACAGTTTGCTAAACAACTTTAACAGCGTAGCGATTTAAGGAGTTTACAAGTTGGTTTAAGTGAGAAAAAAGTGTATTGTGCGCTTAAGATTGGTGAATCTTGTTCAGTTCAGATCTTAGAACAATTAAAATTTTTATCTAAATGTGTTTAAAAGTCATAAAGATTATTTTATAACCTAAAAATTCGTTATCGTTCTTTCTCACTCGAGGCCACGCTGATCATTAGTCTATAAGTTTCTCTGTCTACGAATTTACGGATAACTTAAATGTATCGATTTTTAAAAAAATAATTAGGACAGATATTAGAACAGAGTCATTTACAGGTAACTTAAATGTATCGAGTTTAAAAAAATATTAGGTCAGATATTAGAACAGTAACTTACAAATAACTTAAATGTATCGACATTTTAAAAACAGTGATTAGCATAGATATTAAAACAGTAATTTACGGATAACTTAAATGTATCGAGTTAAAAAAAATAATTAGCACAGGTATTAGAACAGAGTAATTTACAGGTAACTTAAATGTATCGAGTTTAAAAAAATAATTAGGTCAGATATTAGAACAGAGTGATTTACAGGTAACTTAAAATTTGTGGATGCCTTTAAAAATGTGAGCCACTCACCTTAAAGTTCACAGTATGGGAGTAAACTGTGTTCAATCCTTAAGTGCTTGACAGTGAAAAAAAACTTCATGAGGAAACCTGCATGTGATAATTAAGTCCGTCAACATGTATTCTAGACCTGTGCCAACCAGTGGCTCGTAAATAGGCTTCAGTTCTAGTATCAGTTTTCCACCATTAAATGTTAGTGAGAAACTGGTATTTTTGGAACTTTTACTATCTCTAGCTTAGTTTATTCGAGAAAAAATGGTAATGTTGCTTCTGTAACCACTCAAGATCAATTACAAGAAGTTTTATAAAGTGTATTTAAAGGATTAACCCTTGTGTCTCACCTTTACTATTGAAATTGCTACGTACGCAAAATTTACAGTACTCAAACACGAAAGTCCCAACCTATCCCAACCTCCATTCGTTTTAATTTGTTATTTTCTTAATATAGCATAATCAATACTGACACCTACCTGTATCAATAAGTTAATAATTACAGAATTAATTAATAATTACTTTGGCTCATTTGATCTCAGAAATCGGGTATACCTATATAAGACATTAAATAATACAATTAATACTGAGATAAGATTAATATAAACTATTTTATTCAACAGGGCTCTCTAAACGCTTACAGTACTGCAATGAAAATTTTAAAAGAGAAAGTGAATGCAGATATTCCCGCTGAAATATTAAACAATGTAGCGGCTCTTCATTATAGGCTGGGTAATATGAACGAAGCTATGAAATATTTGGAGGAAGCTTTGGAAAGGTAAATTAATTAATTAATTAATTATGTGTGATGGTAGAAAAAATCGCTAGGAAGCCCTTGTAAGCAAAATGGCGAAACTAAACAGTTTTCGGCCAGGACACGTTTGCTAACTTCAGTAGCGCTGACACAATCCACCATTTTGCTTATTTACTTTGTTTGTTTTGAAGTAAAGTTTGTAAGTTGTTTTTTGCAATATTAGTTTCAAGTAATATAATGATATGAATAAACATATTATGTTATTAAAAATTCATGATTGGTAAGTTTTTAATATGAATACTTTACAAACATATATTTAAATTAGGTTAGGTTCCCCGGTTAAAGCTAACTTCGTGTCCTAGAGGAAAATAGCTACTTACGATTTGACAGCGCTTACCGCTTACGATCGCCATTTTGCTTACAAGCGCTTCCTAGCGCTTTTTTCTGCCAAAGGCAGCCATTCTATGAAGGTCGACTGCTGAACATAGGCTTTTCTCATAGATTGCCGCATAGGATTTTACCATAGTTGCCATGCTTAGCAAACGGGCCGACAACCGCTGATTCTATTATTTTGAATTGTTATCTCTAATTATTATATTATTTATATACTCATGTCAATTAAAATACTTTTTATGAGTTGTCATATTGACTGCTCACTCTTAAGCCCCATTTACATTTTTAGAAGTGACAAGTGCGAGTGGCAAGTGCAACTGATAAATGAAAAGTGCTTAGGGCGTATTTTATTCACACTTATCCATTGTCACTACCTGTTCACACGCACTAAGCACTTGTCATTTTTCAGATGCACTTGCCACTCGCACTTGTCAAAATGTTAACCGGGCCTTAAGCTTTTAATATGTCATTGTAGATTTCGTTGTAACTGCCATAAAGGAAAAAGAAGTATGAGTTTTATGGAGTATAATTAATAATTATTCCGAAATTGCATCAACTGAAACATCATTATCGCATGCCATTAACATTAACTTCGGCGCTTTCTTTGTACTTAATGTCTATTAGCACAATAATGTTTTTTTTTTTATAGAACAAGGGTGATAAACAAGCACACAGTCCACCTGATGGTAAGTGTAGGCTGTGGCCCTTGGATATCTACATCTATCCTTGATTAAGAATCAAAATGCAGATGCATTGTCAACCTAAGGACTAAGATGGAAGGCCTCATATCCAGTAAAAAGGGTTTCCGGTTCTCTACACTTACCATGCAAAATACAACAGCATCGAGTTGTTTTTTACGCTGGTACTTTGTGAAAATGTGGTCCTTGCCAGTTGAGCCATGCTACAGTTATATTATGGTTGTAGCATGAATGGAAGTACTACAACCATAATATAACTGCAGCATGTAGCCCTACAGCGTATAAACCTGAAAATGTCTACAGCTGGCCTATTGTTACTCCAGGTTATTTCTGAACCATTTCTTTTATATTTTGACTATAATAATTCAGTCATTTATAATCCGTTTTTATTAATCGTTTTTTTTTCCAGAGAGAAAGCTGATGCTAAAACACTAGATGCACAATATTACAATTCCATAGCAGTGACGACTATGTACAACTTAGCCAGGTTAAATGAAGCCCTCTGTATTTATAACAAAGCCGAGAAACTGTATAAGGACATCTTGAAGGAACATCCAAACTATATTGATTGTTATTTGAGGTGATACTCTATTATACGTACATTTAATGATAAAGGTATAAGTTTTAAATAACACTGGAATATAATGTTTATATAATTTTTGTCATATAAAATTTTCTTGTTTATTAAGTTTGTAACCTTACCATTAATATCAATGAGCTACTTATTTGATAGTGTTTATATATTTATTTATTTAGTAATTGTCTTTTATGATGTAATATTGTAACTAAAAGGTCTTTTTTTACCTAAGAAATTGCCATTCTACAGTACCTGCCATTTCTAATCAAAATATTTTTTTTGCCTAAGAAATATAATTTCAAAATAACTTTATTTTAAAAATATGGAGATTTTTTTTTAAAATATCATTTGTTTATTGATTATCGTTATGTTTCCATCGCTTTTGAATCTTTTTCGTCATCATGGATACGTTAAAAATTCGAGTAATTATGGAATATGAGTACCGTTGTGGGAGCAAGGCGGTACAAGCACGCAACATCAACGACTTTTTCGAAGCGAATATTACAAACGAACGCACTGCCTGTTATTGGTTTCACCATAAAAACAATATTTAATTTCAGATTAGGCTGCATGGCTCGAGACAAGGGTCGTATCTACGACGCGTCTGATTGGTTCAAGGAAGCTCTCAAAGTGAACACGGAGCACCCGGACACTTGGTCACTGCTTGGCAACTTGCACTTGGCACAACAGGAATGGGGACCTGGACAGAAAAAGTTCGAGAGGATATTGCAAAATGCTTCCACGTCCACTGATGCATACTCTTTGATTGCTCTTGGTGAGAATTTCTAACTAAAAAATAAAATTTAAATTAATCTTTGCTCTAACCTCAAAATTACAATTAAATAATTAAAAACTAAATTTCTTCATTACCAACGGACATTGCTTCCTTCAAATTATTTGTCACTACTTTGGTGTTAATATTCATTTGTAATCCTGCTTCTTTGCTTTTGTGCCAGTAATTGTAATATTGATTGTAATGAATTCGCTGTTTCAGCGAAAATCACAATGTTATCAGCAAATGTTACATAATTAACTTCCCGTTTACATTTGAACCAAACTTACTGTAACTTTTTTTAATAATTTAGATATACTGTTCAGTTATTCTATGGTTCTTTAAGACTTTATATAAAATACACATAAATACATGTTCCAATGAGTCAAATACTTTTGTGTAATCCTAATGTAAATAACTAATGTAACATAATAACTAATAATATTTCCTCTGTGGTTGACTGGTAGAGAATGCCTAAAGGCATTAAGTCTGCCAATTGTACATTTTAAGTTTTTTTTTTATAGGAGAGGAGGCAAACGAGCATAGGGCTCACCTGATGGTATGTAATTATCGCCGCCCATGAATAGCTGCAACACCAAGGGAACTCCAAATGCGTTGCCGGTCTTTTAAAAAGGAGTAGACTCTTTTCTTGAAGGTGCCTAGGTCGTATCGATCCGGAAAAATCTCTGGTGGTAGTAGATTCCACAAGGAAGTTGTGCGAGGAGGAAAACTTCTTTTAAACCGCCAGTCATACAGATGGTAAGAATGGTATCGCAAGTTTGTTGCGATGTGCGATGGTGAAATTGTGCGGATGGAATTAGTTCGAACAATTCCTTAGAATACCCGCGTGGTAGATGCGATAAAATACGCAAAGAGATGCAACATCTCTTCGCAGTGCTAGTGAGTCCAGCCGATCGGAAAGAGCTCGGTCGCCGAAGATTCGAACTGCCCTGCGCTGGATGCGATCAAATGGAGGGAGCTGGCACTGGGGAGCCCAGGTCCAGAGATGGGAACAGTATTCCATGTGCGGCCGAAACTGCGCCTTTTAAAGTTGCAGGCGGTGAGCCGGCATGAAATACTGTCCCGCTCTGCTGAGCACGCCACGCTTTTTAGAGGTCAGTTTGGCCTTCTCTTCCAAGTGACCACGAAAATACACGTTACTCGATAAGTTGACGCCGAAGATTCCGGCTGAGGCAACAAGGAAAGTGCCTTGAAACTGAAAAGATACAACAAAGGGGTTCTTTTTAGCGGTAAACGCGCAAACTTGTGTCTTCTGGGGATTAAACTGGATTAGATTTAGTCGGTCCCAGTCCAAGACTTTGTTCAACAAATTTTCGACCGGTGTATAAAGCATCACCAGTACTATCGTCTGCATAGCAATGAATGTTACCGTTTTGCAACATGTCATTGATATGCAGAAAAAACAGCGTTGGTGATAGCACGCAGCCTTGTGGAACACCATCGTTAATGGGCTTGTAATCGGATCATGCACCGTCTACTACGACCTTGATGCTCCGATCAGCAAGAAAACTGGTGATCCAGTTGCACAATTTCTCGGGAAGCCCATGTTAAGGAAGCTTAGTAAAAAGCACTTTGTGTGAAATCTGATCGATGGCCTTTGCTATGTCAAAAAAGTGCATTAAAGATTTTAAATAAATAAATAAAATAAATATTTCCTCCTATACTCATTTTGTTTCTATAATCTGTTGTTTATAATAATAATAATCTCTACAAAAAATAATTTTAATATTTTTTTAATTAATTTAATTAATACTTTTTAACCTTAATTTACCAATTTTATATTTTATGATATTAATTTGTAATATTGTTTGTTAATTCATACTTCCTCTCACTCGCTATATGAACAACAACAGCAATATACAAAATTAAGGAAAAATAGAAATAGACAGTGTCTGTCTGCCTACCCTGATCATGAATAGACTAATAATAAATTAAATATTTTCAGGCAATGTATGGCTCCAAACACTACATCAGCCATGCCGTGAAAAAGAACGAGAAAAGAGACATCAGGAACGGGCACTCGCTATGTACAAGCAAGTGCTCAAAAACGACCAAAGGAATATTTGGGCCGCAAACGGAATTGGCTGTGTCTTGGCGCATAAGGTGAACATTTGTGGTGCTATGTACTTGTCTAGTTAGTTGTAAACAGACTAGTGACTCAGTAATTGCCAGTGGTGCAGGCACCAAGGGAATTATCATGTACTGTAAAACAGCTGTGGCCGGGGAAGGAAAAGGTGGAGATCTCCCGCCGGGCAAGGTGTTCTGCCCGGGGAGCGGACAACACTCCATGTGATAGTTCGGAGCTGTTCTATATATACTGTTTATGATTCGGAATGTTGATAGCGCGATTTAGGCTTCGGTGTGTTTCGCTTGTGGCGCGACGACAGCGCCGCCACACAGCCAGCAGTGAAAGAATACGTTGTAAAAGAAATATGCGTTACAAAAAATAAAAATAAAAATACTTAAAACATCAGTTTTATGAGAGAAGGTAGTGTGACCTTGTCATGGCTCGCATTCAAGGTGTTCCGTATATTGAATATTTTTTATACATATCTATCACATTTCAGAAATCAAAAATCAAATTAAATACGATGAAATACGTAAAATTACTATAATACTACTGTTAAGGGCCTATACTACCTCAGCTCAAATTCTAATTTCGCACCCACTTCCCCGCGCGTCGTATGCTATCTACCGTAATGTTTGTTATCACTAATACTGTAGGTAGATATGTCGTTAGATACTTATTTCCACCCAGTTGCTTCTTATTTTTATAACGGTTATTTCCAATTTTAATGTTACGTCGTCCTGTTACGTAATGTGTATTCTGATCGTAAGCGACAAAGCTTTCTCGTTTAAAAACCGAAACAAGACTGAGTGAGGTCATCGGGCGGCAGGAAAAAGCTTCAGGACGGCGATAGTTTAGGTAATTTTTTTATACAGTGAAAATAATTGTGATTAAAAAACATAAGCCCCGCTTTATAGTTAGTTCAGTTAGTATGCAAAGTTTCATGATATAATTTAAAGTATTTTGCGAATAACAGCGATTTATTGTTCGGTTTGGAGGTAACTGGATTTTTTTCTATCAAGAAAATTTACGGAATCGTGTTTTCGTCAAACATAGTACTTAACATTAATCCTTAATTTTACCATATATTTATTTCAAAATTAATGTTGCATTATTTTCGGCATAACGCAGAATATAGCCATTTGAGGTAGTATAGCCCTTAACTGAAATATACGTCGTGTGGTGACGGCGTAAAAGACTTTATTACCACATTTTGTGTCGCTCGTGGGTGCCGTAAGAGGTGATAATAGGATATGCTTGAAAATATCATGGCTTCAGATAGATGTCAGTATTTAAGATCTTTACGCTAAACATAAAATAATAAAATACACGGTCGCCATGTAAAGTGGGAAAGGTGTTAATGGGAGAGACGTGCTCCTCTTTCTACCTTTAATTAGGTTTCTCTTATTCTGAACTTAACAATAACAATTCATCTTTGACAATACTTTTGATTCGTAATTGAGGATAGATGTAGATGTATATGGGCCACAGCATCCACTTACCATTGGATGGACTGTGTGCTCATTTGTCACCCTTATTCCATAAAAAATATCTTACAAAGTTTTCTACTGCACATAGACTTCCCCATAGATTGCCTTGTTATGGGGATATTTGCCATAGTTGCCGTATTTAGCTGGCGGGCTTGGCACCTGCAGTTTCCGTGATTTTAGTCGAAATTAAGAAGACGCTGCCGCCCACCTCCTATTTTTTCCTATGTCGCCTCTGGCTTAAATAATATTCTCCTTTTATAAAAAAATCTCTGTCATTCTTCTTAACAGGGTTGCATAAACGAAGCCCGTGACATCTTTGCGCAAGTACGCGAAGCGACCGCGGACTTCCCCGACGTTTGGATGAACATCGCACATATCTACGTCGAGCAGAAGCAGTACATCAACGCTATACAGATGGTATGTGCGTCCTTGTCATCTTTCTAAAAATAATATCACTTAAAAAATACTCGAAAGATAAATTAGTTAACAAGTCAATTACATAGCTTTGGTAGCTGATGAGCACACAAAGAGCTTGCTTTTTTAATTAAATAAATACGAATCTTTTAATATTTAATAGGATATGGTTGGGTATTCAAAATTAAGTATAATAATCGCAAACAACTCAGCACTTATACCTTTATTGCGCAGACCTCCCCCCCATCCCGCTGATTTGTATGGAAAAGTTCCCCCGTGTCACATACGTTCCTCATATCACCGTATGCTCAAGCGGTTTGCTGGCAATTGTACATTACTTGCAAATGCATTCCTTCCTACCCCCTTCCCTTTGTACACTGCAAAAGCTCGCTCCTTGCTGCTATTGCAATAATAAACATTATATTATGTAGTCTAATCGAATAGAAAAAAATTCTTATTCTCTTTGTATATTTTGGAAGTAATACATTTAAAAAAAATTATAAACGGAATGAGGAATTATTTAATACCCTTGATCAGGTAATTGCAAGAACATGCGCGCCAACAAGGTTTATAAGAGGACAATGTATTCAATAAGTAAATAAGTAATTCAATAAGTAAGTAAAATTACACGTGGTAGAGCCACGCTGCAGCTATATTATGGTTGTAGTATGAATGGGTTGTCTCGACCGGGGAAGGACTATGCTCTCACAGAATACCAGCGTGAAATAGCAGCTTAATGCTCTGTGTTTCGTGTGGTGAGTGTAGAGATCCGGAGACCCTTTTTTACTGGAAAGGAGGCATTCCATCTTAGTCCTAAGGGGTGACAACGCATCTGCGTTTTGATTCTTAATCGATGATAAATGTAGATGTCTATGGGTCACAATTTCCACTTACCATCAGGTAGACTGTGTGCTCGTTTGTCATCCTTACTCTATATAAAAAATATTTATAATCTTAATCTACATTGAAAAAAAGGTTTCTTTTTCTATGTCTAACGATGAATAAAATATAATATTTTAAATTAGTGGGATGGCCATCACAATTTTCGGATAACAAAACATTGATTAAAATATTTATTGAACTTTGTTTGTATGTATTATGGTTTTATCACGAATGGGTCGGTTCGACCAGGAGAAGGACCACGCTCTCACAGAATACCAACGCCAAATAACAGCATAATGCTGCCGTGTTTTGTATGGTGTGCGTAGAAAACCAGAGACCTTTTTTTACTGAAAATGAGGATTTCCATCTTAGTCTTCAGGCTTGACAACGCATCTGCATTATGATTCTTTAGTTAGTTACTTTAAGTTTACGACGGCATGTTTTCCGCAACTCCACGTCTAAGCGCGTATTTTGCGTGTGGGCAAAAGTAATTATTCGAGCTATGATCAAATCTCCCCGAAGAAGTTCTAGTTGTATCTTATAGTTCTCATTGAACACAAATTGTTTGGGGATTTTACTTGGCTTGTAAGATAGGAATTTTTTAATTAAATTCTATCAATTATACCCGTATGAAGGACTCTACTCTTACTCCAAAGACCCTAAAGGTCAAGGTAAAGGAACGAGGCATTCCACCTAAGTCCTCACGGGTGACAACGCATCTGCATTTTGATTCGTAATCGAGGATAGATGTAGATGTCTATGGCAGTGGCGAAGCCTCCATAGAAGTCCAGAAGCCGGGATTGCTATAAACCTGCTCAATCAATAATATCAACTAATAACTCGTAAACTGTTTCATACTATTTCAAATTTCCTGCGCGCTCCGCAGGGCATGACCTCGTAGCATATAATATGTAACGTCAACACTTGGCAGTTTGCTTTCAATTCGAAATACACTGGACTGTCAATATTAATTAAAGCAAGGAGTTGATTTTGTCGTCTCTCTCACACGCGTTGGCTTTTTACCGGTTTTTCGAGAAGACGATCGCTCCCTTTCTTACCTGTGGCAAAATGTTCTATAATGAAATATAACTACGAAATGTTTATATAGCAATTACTATGGAACCAAAAGCCGTGCTTTGCCCTGAAGTTGGTTAGGAGTGCGTTAGCGAGTGGGGGTACGGTCGGTATAACGGTAATACGTTGGCAAGTTCACTTCACATTTCAATGTTTATGTTTGTTTTTGTTGTGTCTGTTAAAATTTTATGCTTTTTCAAAGCTTTTTAGTGAAAATGGGAGGATAATAGTGTTTCTTGTGATGAATATAAGTGTGTTAAAGTGCTAATCGGCGAGGAAAAGGTAAAATCTTTAAAAATGAAATTTTAATACAGTAAACATTTCTTCGTACTTCAATAGGTACAGACTCTTTAGTATATAGTATAAGTTTAATTATTCTAGGCGTATTTAAAGGTTTATAAATAGCTCAATACTTATATTACCATATGAGTTAAAAATATCATTTTGAACTTCGGCATAAAATACCTAGGTATAAGTTTTTTATAGCAAATAATTGTTACAATCTTTTTTTTAATGTGAAGCCCAAATTTAAATTTAATAAATTAAATGAATAGATGTATTGACGTTTTTAAAGAATATATCTTGTAGTCTTTCAGTACCTATATAAAATTTTAATAGCGCCATCTACTTAATGCTATAGGTGAAGTCATTCTATCGAACGAAAATTGATCGATTCTCACGATGGTACGTAAAGATTATGCTAGATGGCACAAACACGCTAAAGGCTAATTTAATGTTTATATTACCTTAAGAAATAAAAATATCATTTTGTACGGTTTATTAAATTTCGTAGTAGATATCATTAGTAAGTAAGTTCATTATCGCAGACCCCTTTAATTCCCTTTCACACGTCCTCTCTATCGTCTTTAGGTTAAAGGATATGATGCTAATAGGTCTCTAGGGTTTAGGGTCTGAATAGTCGCTCTTGCCTTGTTAAGGTATGAACGTGACTTTCACTTCCCTTCATCCCTAGTAACATATTTAAGAGCCAGACATTTTTTTTTTTTATATAAACTGGTGGTACTGTAAGTTTTAAAACGAACCGGTAACAGTCGTCAATAGATTACTGATTTAACGTCCTTTGTGTTTTGTTTTTACTATTTTTTTTATAGAAGAGGGGGGCAAACGAGCATGTGGCTCACCTGATGTTAAGTGACTACCGCCGCCCATGATCAACTGCAACACCAGGGGAATTGCAGACGCGTTGCCGGCCCTTTAGAAAGGAGTAAGCTCTTTTCTTGAAGGTCCCCAGGTCGTATCGGTCCGGAAAAATCGCTGGTGGTAAATTATTCCACAGAGAGGTTGTACGCGGAAGAAAACTCCTTTTGAAACGTACAGTGGTGGACCGCCAAGCATCCAGATGGTGTGGATGGTATCGGGACGTTTGCCGCGTAGTGCGTTCACGAAATTTGGCGGCTGGGATTAATCCGAACAATTCCTCAGAGCACTCTCCATGGTATATGCGAAAGAAAATGCAAAGGGATGCAACATCTCTTCGCAGTGCCAGAGAATCGAGCCGATCGGAAAGCACTCGGTCGTCGACGATTCGAGCCGCTCTGCGCTGGATGTGGTCAAGTGGAAGGAGCTGGTACTGGGGAGCCCCAGCCCAGAGATGGGAACAGTATTCCATGTGCGGCCGAACCTGCGCCTTGTAAAGTTGCAGGCGGTGTGCCGGCATGAAATACTGTCCCGCTCTGCTGAGCACGCCAAGCTTTTTTAGAGGCCAATTTGGCCTTCCCTTCCAAGTGACCACGAAACTGCACGTCACTCGATATGTCGACGCCGAGGATTCCGATACTGGCTGAGGCAACAAGGGGAGTGCCTTGAAACTGAGGGGATACGACAAAGGGGTTCTTTTTAGCGGTTAACGCGCAAACTTGTGTCTTCTGGGGGTTAAACTGGACTAGATTTAGTCGCCCCCAATCCGAGACTCTGTCCAGCAGAGACTCGACTTCAGACGCAAGTTTGTGCCGGCACTCGGAGACGTTTTCCCGAGAAATATTTCTTTCATTAAGGCATTTCTTATCCAATTCGCTTGTTCACAGGTTTCTATGTTACCACAGAATTTACGCCACCCTGTCGAGCGTCGATACTTGATACATTTTTTGACGTGCAGGGTAGCAATGTTCCCCTTCAACCAATCCAAAGCCTTCTGATCGGTGCACCACAGCTTCAGGACATCCTCCGTGTAAACGGGTTTGCCTCTAAAAACTGGACCCGACGCATCAGAGCCCTGGCTACTCCAAGCCTCGATCCTCTTCCTCTGTATTCATGATTGATGTCATCAGCTACCTCCTTCGTTATGTGACCGGAACGCGCACACGTATGGCCACACCCAAATCTGCAGGTTGCGCTGTGTGCAGTTCTTGCAGCCTTTTCATTGCTGTTTTAGCCGCACTTTTTTTTAGCACGTATCAGAGACCAGCAATGCTATGTTGTAGCTCTAATGGGAATAAAAGAACAATGATAATTGTTCTTTTTTTTTACTTGTACTTGTACTTTTTTTTCTTTTTTTATAGGAAAAGGGTGACAAGCGAGCACACAGTCCACCTGATGGTAAGTAATTGCTGTGGCCCATAGACATCTACATCTATCCTCGCTTGCGAATCAAAATGAAGATGCGTTGTCAGTCTTGAGGACTAAGATGGAATGCCTCTTTTCCAGTAAAAAGGGTCTCCGGTTCTCTACACTCACCATACGAAACACAGCGGCATTAAGCTGCTATTTGGACGCTGGTATTCTGTGAGAGCGTGGTCCCTCCCCGGTCGAGCCGAGCCATTCGTGCTACAACTATACAATTAATATAGCTGCATCATGGCTCTACCACGTAAAATCATTGCTCTTTCTTCTAACCAGGACATTTGGCCGCTCTCTGCTGTGGAAGTGTGAATTTTAAAGATGTGTTCACGTCAAAAACTATTCAATTTGATATTGGTGAGTGATGTAGCATGTATGTGCGGTATGTGTATGCAGTACGAGAACTGCATTCGCAAGTTCCGCATGCAGCACGACGAGGAGTGGCTGACGTGGCTGGCGCGCGCGCACGGGCTGGCAGGGCGCGCGGGCGCCGCGCGTTCGGCCTTGCTGCGGGCGCGCCGCGTGGCGCCGCACGACGCCGCGCTGCTGTACAACACGGCGCTCGCGCTGCGCCGCCTGGCCGCACACGTGCTCAAGGACGAGCGCTCCGAGCTCTCCGTCGTGCTGCGAGCCGTGCACGAGCTGCAAGTCTCGCACCGGTGAGTTTCCGCTGCCAAACACTGTGTATACTACTGACGGGCTCTGCGGTCTTAGTACATTACGCACTAAGTTACGGTCAATCCTCCGTAATTTGTTAAGTCGACTGCGAGCGGACGAAACTAGGTTAGGTTTTCTAAACCGTGATCATTATTTTCGACATAATACATAATCGTTGTTTTTTGTGACTAAGAAAATGATACCATTATTTTTGTGCGTCAATCAACGTTATTTGAAATTTATTTGATATAATATGTTTATGTAGCTTTATTTCGTATTGCCTAAAACAATAAATGTTGTAAAAGAATAACAATTGCGTTGTATATTTACCGTGCCAGCTCAGCCGGTGGTCGCGCAATCCACAACTGTCACACAATTTATGTGCTGATTTTCACGTTTATACAGCAGTATATGTTTTATAGGGAATAAGTAATAAAAGTAGTCATGCAATGTCTAATAAGAGCTATAAAAATTTGCCTATTCGTTTTCTTTCGTAAACTCAAGTCTCAAAGAATAACTACTTTTTTCTTTATTTTTTAAAGTAAGTCCACCGTGCTAAAATAATTGAAACATTCAAAAATTTGTTTGTAAATAATCTTATTTTCAAAATAAAATGTTACTATGATCATGTTTCATCTTAGAAACTACTTTTTTCGTAAATCTTTCTGGGTGTAGTAATTGAAGGTTGCGTGGCGTGGTGGTGCAGGTACTTCCAGCGGCTGTCGACGTCGGCCGGCGAAGGCACGGAGCGCGCGCGTTACGAGGCGGGCGCGGCGGCGGCCGAGGCGCGCACGTGCGCCGACCTGCTGTCGCAGGCGCAGTGGCACGTGGCGCGCGCGCGCCGTCAGCACGACGAGGAGCTCACGCTGCGTGACCGCCAGCGCGAACAGCGCGAGGCCTTCCGCCGCCGACAGGTACGTACCGCCTCACCGCATCACCGCCTCACCGTTGCTGCTCTCCTGGTACTGCTAGCGGCGAGGCGCGCACGTGGCGCGCTTGTGCCGTCAGCACGACGAGGAGCTCACGCTGCGTGACCGCCAGCGCGAGCAGCGCGAGGCCTTCCGCCGCCGACAGGTACGTACCGCCTCACCGCATCACCGCCTCACCGCTGCTGCTCTCCTGGTACTGCTAGCGGCGAGGCGCGCACGTGCACCGACCTGCTGTCGTAGGCGCAGTAGTGGCACGTGGCGCGCGTTCGCTGCCAGCATGACGAGGAGCTGACTCTGCGCGACCGCCAGCGCGAACAACGCGTGGCATTCCGCCGCCGACAGGTACTTACCGCCTCACCGCTGCTGCTGTCCTGGTACTACTAGCGGTGAGGCGCGTTCGCCGCCAGCACGACGACGAGCCAACGCTGCGCGACCGCCAGTGCGAGCAGCGTGAGGCCTTCCGCCGACGACAGGTACCGCCTCACCGCCGCTGCTCTCCTGGTACTGCTAGCGGTACGACAGTTGCGCAGCACCCGGCTCATCTCTGGCCGCCGCTGCGCTCCTGGTACTTGTAGTTTGAGAGGGCACGTTGTACAACCGCTGATGCTCTGCCGGCAGTTGTAATGTTGGAGACCACCGCTCACATTGCTGCACTCTGTACTTGTTACGGGGGAAGACTATTCATTACCCCTGCTCTTCCGGTACTTGTAACGTGAGAAGACACCAATGGCCGCCGCTGTGCTCCTGGTAATTGTATCGCGGGAAGACACCACTCACCGTCTCCTGATAACCAGTTGCAGCGTGGTTACGTGCATTACGAACAGCTGAGCTTCTAGTACTTTTACTTATTGCTGATGCGCTCCTAGCATTTGTGCACGGCACGGCTACGTGCGCCATAGCACCATCCTGTAACTACGGACCCCGTGCCACGCAGTCTACTTACTAATAGGCTCTCAAAAATTCTAGTAATCTGCGCGCGCTACTGCTACTACAGTGACAGTAGTAATAAGGTGAAGTTTAACTGCTGACAAACCTAACGCAATTTGTCGTTTATTGATAATTTTTAACGTAGTAAATTTCTACTGAAAAATATAATATATCCATATCCAGTAATTTCTTATAATTTTAAAATTTCTAGTACGAGAACGACACTGAAAGTTTTTAGAACTGGCTACTTGTAAACGATATAAAAAAATAAGTTAAAATTTTGAAAATGGATATCTTTGCCAATATTATTGTGTATGTATTTTATTAATTTGTCATTTGTTTATGATTTGGCGGCAAATTTAAAATGGTCTGTGTCACGTCAGCGTGAATTTAACGCGAGAAAGTTTTCGTACAATTATTTTTTGGATCTGATGTGATGAGTCAACAAGAAAGTTATGATAGACTTTGATTGGCCTTTCACGATGAAGATAAATCTCCGATTTATTGTTGTGATATAAGATATAAGAGACAGTCTGCTGTCTGGGTGTTTCCTTCCGAGGAGTTGCCAACTAAAGTGAAGAGAGTTCGCAGCGTGGGAAAAAGATGATGGCCTCGTTCTTCGGATGGACAGGTCATTATTCATTACGCAACAATTGTTTTAGAGGATCGAAAAACAGTTACTGCAGAGTGGTACACTAACAACTGTTTGCCACTTGTCTTGGAAAAGTTCGAGTAAAACGACCTCGCAGTAGGATATTCCTTCACCACGACAAACACCTCGTCTTACATCGCCAAGCAACAATCACACGTTCTATAGCCCCGACCTTGCGATTTTTATTTATTTCCGAAAATAAAAGAAAAACTTAGATAAAAACGTTTTATGGACGCCGAGGTAGCAGTGGCTGCGTTTCAAGTGCCGATGAGACCCCTAAGGACGAGTGGGCAAAGTGCATTTCTCTATGGTTTTATCCAATGTAGCGATGTATTGATGTAAATGGACTCTATTTTGCAAAAGATATAATAAAACTAATAACTTGCTAGTTTGTTCAGTTTTTGATTTTCTAAGAACTTTCAGTGTCACCCTCGTAGGTGCCACAAATATTGTTATTATTTTAACTTGTACATTTGTTGCCAATGTTAAATTACAAACCAGCGTGCTTTCTGCATACAGTTAAAGAAAGAAATTTATGCAAAATATTGTTCTGTTATCATATTTGTCAGTCTTTCTGTTTTTGCTTAGCAATTGCAACCTTATGATTAAAGTAACGATTTTAGAATCTGAAAAGTTGTAGATTCACAACTATACAACAACAGTTCAACAGCTTCTGATGACTTTCGTATATTGTTCCTAGCACAAGCATTTACTGAATTATTATCTTTTAACAAAAGGCACTTAACAATTTTCAGGAGGAAGAAAGAAAACGCCGCGAGGAAGAACAGCAGAAAAGTACAGTGGAAATGCTTCAGAAGCGTCAGGAGTTCAAGGAGAAGACAAAGAACGCATTGGTGTTCGCGGAAATGCCACCAGAGAGCAAATCTCGTGGCAGGGGACGAAGGCGGGACGAGTATGTGTCAGATTCGCCGGGCAGCGGTAGTGATGGTCCCCGGGAGGAACGGTAAGTGGATATTTCAATTGATGATTTATTTAGACTATCTGCGTTACTTCAATTACTTTTTTTTTTATAGGATAGGGTGACAAACGAGCACACAGTCCACCTGATGGTAAGTGGTTGCTGCGGCCCATAGACATCTACATCTATCTTCCATTACAAATCAAAATGCAGATGCGTTGTCATCCGTGAGGACTGAGATGGAATGCCTCATTTCCAGTAAAAAGGTACTCCGGTTCTCTACACTCACCATACGAAATACAGCAGCTTTAAGCTACTATTTCACGCTGGTATTCTGTGAGAGCGTAGTCCTTTCCCGGTCGAGCCGACCCAATTGTGCTACAACTATACTACTAATATAATTGCAGCATGGCTCTACCACGTAAAAAACGTACCTGGGGGCTCCACCGATTTTTTGATTGGATCAATTAAGCTCCAACATAAAAAAATTGTTTAAACGAATAACAACCAACTTGAAGAAGGTATTGGCTAAAATATCAGTTGTTTACAGTTCTTGTTTATTCTCATCATCATGATTACAACCCAATGCCAAACAGTATGAGGTGACAGATCTAAACAGGCCGTAAGGGGTGACAGAGAGAACCTGAAATAGGACATGGGCAGCAGCATCTTTGTAATTACAACTCGAAATAATAAAAAGCTGTGGTTGCCAACTCGAGTGCCAAGCGTGGTAACTATGGCAAAACTACACCTACATGACGCAGTCTATGAGAGAGGCCTATGTTGAGCAATAAACTTTTATGAGCTTTAATGGATGGACTTTGGCATATTCTATATTTAAATTTAATGACATAATCGCTATTGGTGTGTTGACAGTCGTGAGGCCAAGCAGAAGAAGAACCGCAAGCGTGAAGGCGGCGAGGGCAGGAAGGGACGGTCGCGCAAACGCCGCGAGCGTGGTAGTGGTAGCGACAGTGATCCGGCGCCTAAGCGCGGCAGGAAGAAGGTACCACTACCGTAGTATTACACTTCAATACCCCACGATACTACACTTTACCTCTATCCACGATACGACTTTACACCACTACTGCAATATTACACTTCTGCATTACTGCAATGTTACGCTACTCCTCTGCCATAAAATTAAGTTTTTCACTACACACTAGTCAACTACCGCAATAACGCGCTACTCTACTACTACTTTGCTATACTATTCAACTACTACATTACTCGACTAGTTTAACTACCGCAATACCACATTACTAAACCATTTCACAACTGCAATACCACACTATTACACAACTTCCGTACTACAATACTACATTACTCGACTACTGTAATTTATTTATTTATTTATAAGGGTCACCGACAGATGATACACAAATACTAAAAACAAGAACCAAGCATTGTGAGAAACATGCAATGTGCTCATCCAGCTATAGGTAACCACAGCTAACACACATGTTGCGAAAAGTTAATTATCGTAAAATTTAATAGTACAGTAGCAAAATTGCGTATTTGTGAGAAATTTAAAGGGGGTGTACATTTAACATCTAAAACTTAGATTCTAAATAAAGTAACATTTTTTTTCTGAAATTATTTAAATTGTCATTAAAAATATCTAAATCAGAGGGCCTAGATATATCATTATACAGTCTAAACATTCTGCATAATGCTTAATTAAGACCGAGGTTAGTCCTGTGAGGTGGGACCATAAACAGCTTGTAGACATTAAATCGTGGTAATCTGCTTGGAGCATTAATGTTAACCATTTCAAGTAATTGAGGACAGTCAATGCCATTATTACACAGTTTGTAGAGGAAGCTCAAATCCAAAAGTTTGCGCCTGTTATATAAGGAAGATATACGGAAATGCTTTAGCCGTTCATCATATGAAGTTAAGGAGCGGTGTAGATTAAATTTCAATGCTAGCATACTAAGGAACCTCCGCTGTACTCGTTCATTTCCACTCTTATGAACCTCACAGAAAAGGAGACCACACTTAAGAACAATATTCAAGGTTGCTCCGAACTAAGATGTGAAAGAGTAGTAGTAATGTTTGAGTATGTCTGAACTGTTTGGTGTTTTTACCTAAAAATCCGCACATTTTCGAACGCCTTCGTTATAATACTGTTTATATGTGGTACAAAAGACAGTTTACTATCCAACAAAACGCCCAGGTCTCGTATACACTCTACTTGATTGAGTACTGTGTTGCCAATTTTGTATGTAGTTTGGATAGGAGTATGTTTGCGTGTGAACGACATATGATAACACTTTTTAGCATTCAGAATCATATTGTTTTGAGTACACCACTCGATCAATCTATCCAAATCGGCTTGAATAAGCTGGGAGTCTGTTGATGATCTAACAGGTCTAACGAATTTCAAATCGTCAGCAAACAGGTAAACTTCTGTGTTCAAAAAACATTCTGTCACTGAGTTGATCAAAATTAAAAACAAAAGGGGCCCTAAATGTGATCCTTGAGGAACACCCGAGGTTACCTTAAACGGTTCAGACTGGCTCCCATTAACAACTACATAACACTCGCGACGAGTTAAGTAAGATCTAAACCAATCCAAAATAGGGCCACCAATACCACAACTACTTAATTTCGTCAAAAGTATTGACTTGAGAACCCTGATCGACATACTGGATAATATAATTGGTGAAGGCAATTAAATTAGTAGTGGTGGACCTATTTCTAAGGAAACTATGTTGACGACCAGTAATTTGAAATTTTAGTAAATTGTAAACATAAAAATTAAAACTTCAAAAACTTTAGGAAAAATAGATATTGGTCTGTAATTTCTAATGTTATTCTTAGTACCATCTTTGTAAATGGGAACAATTTTAGCCATTTTCCAGTAGGTAGGAAATATTCCAGTTTTAAGAGATTCGTTGAAGATACAAGTAAGTGGTAATGATAGTTGCTTAGCATGTATAAACAACGGCGGTAATCCATCTGTGCCAGGACCTTTATTTAAGTCTAGTCTCTTTAGCCTAGTGAGAATTAAATTATCCGCCAGCATAATAGAGCTAAGCGAGGATGAAAATGAATAGACACAATCGCGTTTATGGTAACAAACTTGTGGATTTAGACTTTTACTATAAATAGATGAAAATTTTTTCGCAAAGAGTTCACTTATGCTTGTTTCATCCGCTCCAGTTTCATGGTCTAATTGCATACGGGATGGTATATTGCTACTATTTTTACGCTTATGCTTTATAAATGTCCAAAAATATTTAGGATTTGAGGTTATACTATGTTCAAGGTGTTTGTAATAACTATATAATGTCTTATTACTTGCACGATTCTTCACTATCACATTACTACACCACTCCGCTATCACAGCACTACACTACTCCACTAACACATTACTACACTATCACTACCTCAATACCACATCACTTCACCACCACAGTACTACTACACTCCTCCACTACCACAATACTCCGCTACTTTATTACCACAATACTTACACTACTATACTATCGCAATAGCACATAACTACTTTACTCCAGTGATGCATCACTTGTTATACAGACCCACTTTTGCATTTTCTACTTAATCCACATTATTCCATTACCTCACAATCGTCGCTTAACTAAATCATGGTATTAATATATTATATAAAATCATAAATTCATTAACAGGGTGAAAAGGGCATCGGCAAACGTGAGAAAGCCAAGGCAAAAGCGGCGGAGGAGAAACTTAGTGCGAAGCAACGCATGAAGATCGTATCGAAGGAAACTATTTCCACGTCCGAGTCGGACTCGGATGCTTCACGGAAGTCGCGCAGTCGTAGCCGCAGTGGAAGCCGAAGTCGCAGCGGAAGCCGGAGCCGCAGCCCGCCCGCGAACAAAGGCCGCAAACGCATCATGTCTGCTTCCGACAGCGACAGGTATTTATTTCATTATGTGCTTTTTATATCTTTCAACAGCCTGTAAAAGGCCTCCTCTGTTGTAGGGAGAATATGACTCAATCGTTTCTCATGGCAGGCAGCGTCGTGATCACAGTACCAGTCGTATATCCTATCCGTCGCGAGTCTTATTTTTTTCATATCTGAAATAAATAATTAGAATACATAATCTATACTACACGTGCGGTTAAAGAATGGGATTGAAAAAGGCGTTGCCTCTATTCACCTGTTGCGATATGCCTTTTTCTTACGTTCTGTAACTTCAGTCCAACTTGTTGCAAAATGACAAAACTACCAAAAAAAAATCAGTCCGGTTTTGCGATTTTTTTAGTCCGAATTTGTGAACTACGACGCGTTTTCTTCATAATTATTGTTGATTTTGTTTGTTTTTATTTTTGTACCTGCCATTGAGACATGAGTCCGAGCTAATGTTATGAATGGCTGAACTGATTGTAGTAAAACTTAACGGACATATAGAGAATAATCTAGGAGTGATCTAGAGTAAATATTATTCGAAAAAATTTGAGATTTTATTAAAATCTAAATATTGATAAGATAAAATAAATAGCCTTTAATAATTATCTTGTGTCGTCAATTAGAGCCACCCAGGCGAAGCCAGAGCGGATCGCTATTTATTATTGTTATTTTAAAATTAATGTATCTACTTGCGTATACAATTAATGAAATTAATAGAAACTTTCCAATTAAACGAATAATATACCGATATAACCATATACTCAGCGGGTTTTCGCTATTAGTACTGTGTACATGTGTACTGTGTTCGGGCTCAATGAGTCGCCATTTCTAATCCCATTCTTTATATTCTGGTTCTTTCTAGAAAATATTAGTATTACGAAACGAATTTTCGTAATACTAATATTTTCTAGAAATAATCAGTGCACGGAGCTAATGCTATGCCAAAGCATTAGCTCCGTGCACTGATAGCTATAACTATGTCAAATTTCTAACATAAGCTATGTCAAATTTCTATCATCTAGATCCAGTAGTCTTTGAGATTTTCAAAAAAACCTGTAACAAATAGATATAGACTTACAGTAAGGTCTCTCTCTGAAACTCTCGCGGATACAATTTTGGCACAAATCTGAATAGATCATTTTTCTAAACTGAAGCCCACAAGAGTGCAGTTAAAAACAAGTAAAAAGCTAGTTAAATAATATAACAATAATAATATTCTTATGCGTAAAAAAATAGAAAATGTTTATCTAATATAATGACAATTCGGTACGTTAAATTTTTAATGTGTCGCTTTTATATTTTTGCTTTACATACAACAAACACCAATTTGGTTTAATATGTTTTTCTAAGCAGTAATTCATTTTAATAGATTTTGAAACTTTTGCCAATGATGACATCAAGCTACACAATGTTTGCGAATAATTTGTATAAATCGTATCGGAAAAAAATTAGATAATTGCGGAATCGTTAAAAAACATTTTTAATTTCAAATTAAAAAAATTGTCATTTTATAACTTTATTCATAAAAAAATCAAAAACTTTTTACGCTGCGAGAAAGTAGAAAAATACGTTTTTCTTGTAAGATATTAATCTGAGAACATTGAAACCACTGCGAATCGTTTGCAAATTAATTGTCGATTCTGTAAATATTGCCTTTATTGCGTTATTCGCTATAGATACTGAGTAATAAATTAATTAGTTTTTCGTCAACTACTCTTCACTAATTCGGGCGGTTCGTGTACCATATTGTATAAATACATATACATATACATAAGTAAAAAAACTGTCAGTTTATAACTTTATTTATAAAAAATCAAAAACTTTACGCCGCGAGAAAGTAGAAAAATACATTTTTCTTGTAAGATTTCAATATTCTCAGATCAATATCTTACAAGAAAAACTTATTTTTCTACTTTACAAATATTTCTAACGATTCTGCAATTATCTAAAATTTTTTCCGACAGAATTTATACAATATGGTACACGAACTGCTCGAATCGGTGGAGAGTAGTTGACGAAAAAATAATTAATTTATTACTCAGTTTCTACAGCGAATAACGCAATAAAGGCAATATTTTTAGAATCGGTAATTAATTTGCAAACGGTTCGCAGTGGTTTCAATATTCTTAGATCAATATCTTAAAGAAAAATGTATTTTTCTACTTTCTCGCGGCGTAAAATGTTTTTGATTTTTTATAAATAAAGTTATAAACTGACAATTTTTTACTTGAGATTACGAATGTTTCTAACGATTCCGCAATCATCTAATTTTTTTCCGATACGATTTATACAAATTATTCGCGAACATCGTGTAGCTATGACATCATTGAACAGGCCGAAAAGGGTGCTTGTCAAATATAAAAATATAATAACAAACTCTATAGATATTTGACATATTATTTAGATGTGTCATATTATATTTTAAAATAATAAATTGTAAAAAAATTTTTGAAAAAATATTTAAATATATTGTTATCTTTTGATGATGATTCGAACAAAATGTCTGTGAGTAAGAGAAAAATTGTTTTATTAAAATAGTTACAAAATAATTTTTTATAATGCTAATAATTTTTGCGTGCGACGTATCACGTCAATGAATACAATCCCGCACAAACTGATAATTACAAAAAGTAACATTACACTGATTATTGTATTTAAATCAATCAAATTAGATATATCAAGTAAAGTAAGAAAGCAAAAAATATAATTGTATTAAACAAAACTATGAGGCGGACAAGTAAGCCAATATCGTTTTTAAATAAATTAAGAAATAAAGAAGAAAGAAATGCGTTGATTTGGCACATAAATTATAAGAAGACAGATAAAAATTCTTTTCATCAATACAAAAATATAAAAATCTCAGCTTTAAGCATAGCTTTAAAACACGAATTGAAGATAGACATGAGTTGACAAATGACAACAAAAAAAATATAAGTACATAATAAGAAAATGATAAATTAAATTTTGTTACGATAGGTTTTATCATAATAAAATTTAATGTTCTAGTGCAAAGTAACGGGCAACAAAAAGTAGAACATTTACGTACAGAAAAAAATGGTGTGTGGGCTTTGCATCAAGAGTATGAATTATACCGTTTATGTCTATTATGACAAAAAATCAGATATTTTCTGCACTAAAATCAGAAACATTTTTTTAATAAAGATTTAAAACTGGCAACTGATTTACAATATATTCCAGCATTCGTTGCAGTAAAACGAAAACTGCCACGGTAGGCAGCTGTGTGATGCTAAGGATATTTGAAATGTGATGTTGTTATGAGCTTTTGGAACAAGTATGACTGTTCCCCGGTATTTATTACTCCAAAAAGCAATGATGCATGACTCATTAGGTCGTGTGACTGTGTGGTTTTTAGTGGCTGAAGCGTGCACAAGCGTTTTCAACTCATTAAACATTACTAAATCACTAGATATTGGCCGCACTTCATTTTTTATTTTAGATTCGATTTTGTGATTCATCATTGGAGCTCAAATGAAAGTCAATAATTAACATGCATTTTAGATAAAATTAATAACATTCCTTATTTTTATTTAAAAATGAATAATATCGAAAAGGTTTCAAAGTCAGCATGGCTTAAAAATAGATTGCTAAAGCAATTGATTTGATATTTTTATAGTATTACTATTTTCGTCTTAATCCTTAATATTTGTTAAGAAGGTATTTTTATTAATTGTACGAAATTCAGGGATGATGATAATTTCATTAATAAGTTACGTACTTGCCTTTACAACTCTTACTCAGTTGTGACATAAATTTTTAAATGTTTTTATACATACCCTGAGTAAAGATTTTCGGTGGATGATTAAATTAAAAAAAAATTGCATGTACTTAACTATTATCATAATCTCTGATATGTACCGACTGATTTTGGTTGGGAAATAAGGAGAATTGCTGCCTAGCTGTTTCTTAAATGATTTTTATAATTAACTTTTATCATTCATTATATCAGTGGAAAATAATTAACTCTATAAGTATTATTAATATTCGACTATTTTATTATTATAGTTATAATTATAAGATAATTTCTTCCGCTCAGGTCACGTTCAAAAAGTCGCTCGAAGTCTCGCAGTCGGTCCCGCTCTGGATCGGCGAAGAGTCGCTCTCCTTCTAAACGCCGATCAAGGTCGAAATCAAAAAGCCGATCGAGATCGAAGAGCGGGTCGAGGTCGAAAAGCAGGTCGAGATCGAAAAGCAAGTCGCGCTCAAAAAGCAGGTCTCGTTCTAAAAGTGGTTCTAGATCCAAGAGTCCTTCGAGGTCACGCTCCAGGTAAATATTGTAACGTAACTAGTACACAAATAATATGTCATTTTGGGTGGTCATTGCTTTATCAAATATTTCGTTTAGGAAGTATGTTAATATAACGAGTTCTTAACTTTAAGAGAATACTTTACAATTACGTTATGAAAACTAATTTTACAGATGGAAAAGGTAACCTCGGGATTTTAATGTAGTTAGAAATAAACCCAACACAATTCTCGAAATTATTTTTGAATTAAAATTCAAGTAATGTAGTTATTTCATTAGCCAACAGCCAACTGATGAATAAGTTAAGTTCTTATTAATTTTGAGCTAAGACTAAATAGAGAACAAACGTTTGTTCGCAGTTTTTTTAAATACCTCAAAGTTTTGAAATAATTGTAATCTTTGAAGACGTGCTTGACTTGTTAACATTGACATTCTCAATACATTTTTAAAACGATAACATTCTTAACAACATAACTTGCCTGAAGCGGGCGGCCCGCGCGTCCAGCTATAAATATGGTCTGTTAAAAATTTATTGTAAGAACATTATGCGTAAACTCTATATGAAAAGAGATCAGCCTGTCTCCGGCAGCGGGGCGTATAGAGGCTATAACTTTAACTTTTTTATATAGGATGGGATGACAAACGAGCACTCAGTCCAACTGATGGTAAGTGGTTGCTGTGGCCCATAGGCATCTACATTTTTATCCTCGATTACGAATCAAACTGCAGATGCGTTGTCGTTCGTGAGGACTTAGGTGGAATGTCTCGTGTCCAGTAAAAAGGGTCACAGCAGTATTAAGTTACTATTTGACGCTGGTATTCTGTGAGAGCGTGGTCCCTCCCCGGTGGAGCTGACCCATTCGTGCTACAACTATACTACTAATATAACTGCGGCATGGCTCTACCACGTATTAACTAACATTATGTATAAAGTGGCTATAATAGTATAAACATATATGCCATACAAAGCTTTAATTGGAAATGAAACACGAGGCGAATAATATGAAGTCTAAGTTGATTTTCTAAAATTATTGATACACTATTTATCAATCCCAAACTATTAACAATAATATATTATAGTACTATTTCAGGTATATTTTAATTTATTTAAAAAGCCTGGTATTAGTGTAATACTAGGAAAAACCTTAACGAATAATCACCAGATTTTCGTCGCTTAATGTATCCTAATAATATACCTTGTAATGAACGCGCACTCTATCTTGATCGGGCTGAAGTTAGTCGCGAGTGGCTGCGCAGATATAATTTTAGGAACAAAATGGTGACAAGAGGAGAGGCTTGGTAACTAAAACTAGAGATGCGAATAATGCGCGGTTACAATTAAGTAAATAATCGATTATAGTTGTTATTGATTATGATTCGATTTTATTTTAATTTTTTTACGGCTCATTCGTATGTAAATGCAACATGTCGTTGTAAATACAGTGATTATAATCATGTGCATTAAAGATTTTATTGAAAAATTTAAAGTTATGTTATTTTGCGGTTACTGAAAGAATTTGTTGTCGCCGTTATTACGTGTATTTACTATGTATTCAAACTGTTTATCGTAATTCTTTATTAGGTACTATTGTTTTATTGAAATGCATAAAGGAATTTTCATTATAATAATAGTTTTCAATTTATTCTATGAACGATATAGACGAAACAAACCGTTTCCCCTAGCAATCTTAGGAGCGAATATGAAGTGACATATCTTTTGCGCCTGTGCATGCGTAAATGTCACGGAAAGCCAACTTTAGCCCGGCCAAGATATTAAAATGCGGGGGCAGTAGTTTTAAGTAAACGTGCGACTAGAAAATTTAAATTAAATTTAGTATATTTTTTAGTTGTTCAATATAAATTACAGTAGTAATACACTGATACTCCTTTTTTAAAACCATCAAACTTAAATTATAAATAACCTACAATAATTATATCAAAACCTGCTTGATTTTTATTAGTCATCTTATAATTCTGTATGCCATCCTTGTTAATGGGTAGGCTACATATTATTTATTAATATTTACTGGGAAGTTAACAAAAAAAATATTACATCGTAGTCGCATTCTGAAGCAAGCGACCTTCTAAATGCATCGTTTTTGAACGGCGCGAATAACTGACTTTTTGCTAGTTGGGATTTCACACCATTTTGTGTAATCAATGTAAACAATAATAAATTGTTTGTGAACCATATTTGACTTAGATACTTCTTTTCTCAGGTCAAAAAGCAGATCTCGGTCTAAGTCGAAGAGTGCGTCAAGATCTCGTTCGAGATCCAAAAGTGGCTCTAGAAGCCGTTCCGGTTCCCGCTCCCACTCCGGTTCCAGATCTCGATCTGGATCTAGGAACTCTAGACCAGAGACCCCAGTATCAAGAAAATCCGTGTCTGCTAGCGAGGATGAAACATAGATCTAACTACATAAACGGCATATCTAAGTTTATACAATCAGTTTACCTTCAGGGTATGACACGCCTGACAACGTTATCCATATATTGTAAAAAATAATAAAATTTTCACTTAATGTTTTAATTTTTTAGGCGTCCAATATTTTACAACCTTATTATTTAATTCTCTTTGTCCTAATGCAATGAAGTGTAATGTAATTTTTATACATACTATAACACAAAAAATATGCGCCATTTCATGCGCAGTTATGTCAGAAAACTGAACATAGTAACATAATAAAGATGTCACTTATCATAATTTGGTTATTTATTTACGACATTATTAATTACTAATATTAATTTGGCCACTACACACACAAAAAGATAAGTTAATAATATGTAATTAATGTGTAATTGTTATAGTATGTAATGAAATTTCAATTTATGTATGTTAACTGCCTCCACAACCGTGTCGTAACTATACCGTTAGAGGCCTGTGCCAAATTAATCGGATGGGGCTCTCTCCCATCCAATATAAAGAGAACTTCAAACAACGTTAAAGTTATTATTATTTTATAATAAATCACTACGTAAGATACGTACATACATAAAACGCAATTATAATTAGTTAATTTTCTAGAAACAGTTAATTTAATGAGCGTACTGGGCTGAAATCAAATTTTTTGCTTTTTAGTACAAAAGTTTTTCTTTTTATCCTATAGAATTACTTAAATGAGTTTTTATCAACTTCAATTTTCAAAACAATCGCTCGGCACTAGCCTTAGTCCCACGAATGGTTCAAAATAACAGGAATGCAGTGCACACTTAAGAAAGGCTTGAAGAAATAAAATGATTCTTTGTGATTAATAAATCATCAAATTCTCTTGTAGAAGATGGCGTTCCCATTTTGTGTCTAAAGCGGATCGAAAACTGAGAATTTTTCTTGAAACAAGATAAATGTAATTTTCAAACATCAGGCATCATGTACTACAACATTACTGCAAAAACATCCAGGCAACAAATGTCGTGGTAACAGACTGGATTAGTGACATTACAATATCGGCCCTCTATTGTCCACCTAGTTTCACTATCAAGGAATCGGAGTTCAGTAACTTCTTTCAATTACTTGGAGGCAGGTTTATCGCAGGCGGTGATTATAATGCCAAGCATTTCTTTTGGGGTTCCAGGCTTGTTCTACCCAGATGGCGAGAACTCCTTAAATGCATACAAAAAAGAAATATGAACGTGGTATCGTCGGGTCAACCGACTTACTGGCCAACAGACAAAATAAAAATCCTAGATGTTATAGATTTTTGTGTCAGCAAAGGAATCGTTAAGAACATCATATCGTGCCAGAGTTGCTGGGACTTATCTTGAGACCACTCTCCAATCATAGTAGAACTACATACCAGCCCCCAAGAACGCGCCAGAAAATGTGTTCTGCATAACAATAGAACTAACTGGTCTCTATTTCGTGAGCTCACAGACAAAGCATTCCAAGAATCAGTTAGCCTAAAATCTGAAGACGAAATAATGGAAGCGGTGCTATACTTCAACAAGAGTGTGCAAGATGCAGCTTGGTCATCGACCCCACCACTACCATCTAGAAACCTGGATACCCACTTACCGAAACACATATTCGATAAAATAATCAAAAAAAGGAGGATACGGAAACGCTGGCAAACAACCAGAGATCCTGTGGCGAAAAAACCACTCAATCACGCCAACAGACAGCTAAAACACATCCTAGAGAAAGATCGTAATGACGCATTTCATAATTACCTCACCGGCCTGGATACTACTGCTTCCTCGGACTACTCTTTATGGAAAGTCACAAGAAGACTAAAACGGCCTATCAACGTCTCTCTTCCTAAATAAAACCAGATGGTACCTGGGCGCGGATAGACCAGGAGAAAGCCAGAACCTTATCAGAACACCTCTCCAACGTCTTGACTCCTCACCCATAAGACGGCTCACCAGAAGATGCAGCAGAAATTACTAACCACTCAAATAACCCAAAAGATACGCAGGAAATGCCTCTTAATTTTACAAAAACAGAAGTTGCTCGAATAATTAGAAAATCAAACCCAAAAAAGGCTCCAGGATACGACCTGATTACAAACCGAATACAAAACTACCTGAATCTGGAATAACTTTCCTTACGTCACTATTTAATGCCATGACGAGATTGCAGTTTTTTTCTCCTGGAGTGGAAGGTCGCACAAATTGTAATTCTGCTAAAGCCAGAGATACAACCTGAAGAAACAAAATCGTACAGGCCCATAAGTCACCCATCCCATTCAAAATACATGAATCCCTACTGCTACAACGAATCTTGCCTATACTCAAACAGAAGGAGCTAATCCCTGACCACCAGTTTGGAATCCGCAGTAAGCATGCCAGCCACTATCGACCAAGTGCACAGGCTAACAATACACGTCATGGAGTCGCTGGAAGGTAAAGCTTACTGCGCCAGTGCGTTCCTGGACATATCTCAAGCATTTGACCGCGTGTGGCAAGAGGGATTGTTATTCAAATTGAAAAATGCACTACCAGATCACCTTTACGGGATATTAAAATCATTTCTCCAGCAGCGCCATTTCATAGTACAACAAGGGGAAGCTCTGTCAGATCTCTGTCCCATAAAAGCAGGAGTCCCGCAGAGCAGCGTATTGGGTCCCATACTCTACTTACTTTTCACTGCCGACCTGCCGACATCTGAAAATCCTTAATCACGGGAACCTTTGCTGATGACACCGCTATACTGGCTACTCATTGCGACCCAAAAATAGCCTCACAAATACTTCAAAAAGGCCTAAATGACATATCCCACTGGCTCAAAAAGTGGGCGAATAAAAGCCAATGAAACAAAATCAGTCAACGTAACGTTCACCCTAAGAGAAGGGGCTCTTGCCCCCCCCCCCCCCGTTACACTTTACATTGTAGTTCCACAGGCAGATCATGTGAGATACCTTGGATTGTACTTGGACAAAAGACTTACCTGGCAAAAATATATTTCACTAAGAGAAAGCAACTCGGTATTCAAACGCGAAAACTCTACTGGCTCATAGGGCGAAAGTCTCAATTGTCTCTAGAAAATAAAATACTTCTGTACAAGGCAATACTGAAACCTATCTGGACGTATGGAATCCAACTGTGGGGTACTGCATCCCATTCAAACATCGAAATCTTACAAAGGTTTCAAAATAAAGCACTCCGCATGATAACCAATGCCCTGGTATGTGCCCAACGAATTACTACATCGTGATCTACGCCTGCCTACTGTGAAACAGGAAATCCTACGCCATACTAGAATTTATAAAGAGCGCATCGAACGTCATCCAAATATTCTGGCCCGGCCACTCATGGCAAACCACAACAAAGCGCGACGCTTAAAGCGCAAGATACCCCAAGATTTGATACAAACACAAACACAGTAAGCGCAGTTACTGTTTAATAATGAGGATGTGACAGAGGTCACGTACCCAGCACGCCAGCGATAGCACCAACAAACATACTGCTGAATGTCTCTCAAAGGCGACAGATTGTGGTAAATAAAGGATACAAAAAAAAATCAATCATTAAATTTTGCAAAGTGGTAGTTTTCTTTTGACAAAGACACTGAAGTTGCCTACAATTTCATTCATTCCAAGGAAACGGGATCTCAGTTGGTTTTAGGAAACTCAGGGTTTATTAACCATTTTTTTTTGTATATTATTTGCTTGCGTTTTTAAATTTCCAAATTCTCGATACTTTTCCAGGTCTTCCTGGCAGATTTGCAAGCGCTTTTCTTTTTGAAATCGATGGCAATGCAGAAAACAAAACACAAAAATCGCTTTTCAGTAAAATAGCTTAAAAAAAAATAAAAATGCATCGACGCAAAATATGAATGAAACTATAAATATCATGGATATTTGTGACAATTAAGTTTATTAATTTAGATGTCTTTTTCTTTTTCTTTAGACTAATTATGTGTTAATTTAAAATAACAAACGGCGTAAAAAAAACAAACGATCAAGTGACAAAAATTAATCAAACTAATAAAAAAAAATTTACAAGAAAGAAAGATTTTTGTACTTAATATTTTTTTTATAAATGCTTAGGAAAGGCCATACAGTGGGCTACAAGGGCCTTCGCTCACAGACGGCACGGCATGGCATGGCACGGCGTGTCAAGGGATATTTACATGGACAAAAGATTTTCGAACTCATTTTAATAAAGTTAGGACTGACATTCCTTTATTTCTACACGAAAAGACCGAAACGTCTCGTGCAACACTGCCGGTATGTCACGGTATTCCATGGGATACCACTGCATCACGTGAAACGCTACTTTATGTTGTTTAAGTGTCTGCTAAGTAATTGAAACAAGCCCTCTTATCATTGAGCGTCCGGTACACGAGCGCGAGCGCATCACAACATCCCTCAGCATACCGAAGTGTGCCTTGGCATGCCGTTCCACGCTGTAGCGTCTGTGAGCACAGGTCCTAATCAGTACTTATGTTGCCCCCTCTAGCTCTTCGAACTGCTTCTACTCTCCTTGGCATACCTACTTCTAATTAAGTTATCAATAAAATCTTGAGAGATTGTGTCCGTTCTTTGTGTTTTTAATATATTTTAAATTACCATGGGCAGGATTTCTTTTTTTAATTTGGCTCCTGTAAAATCTCAGTTGCTTACTTATTTTCATTCCCGTCGTTTCGATCTTCCAAATTAACGTGTCTCAGGTGTTTGAGGTTCCAATGTCATTAGATAGTGTTTGGTCAACTATACATTGTGAGGGAAAATATCTGTTTCATGTCACAGGAGTAACAAGGCTTGGATGATAGAAGTCCTGTCTGGAGAGTACAATTTGTCAATTTTAATTAAACCGTGACTTTGACGTTGACATGATGATCCGATTCGGAATTTTCGAAAAGTGTTTTATGGACCGACAAATCACAATTTGCAAGAGAAAGTATAACAAACTTCCATATTCTTAATGAATGGGCCGGTAAAGAAAGAAATCCAAATTGGAAGAAACAAGTTTTTTCCAAAGAAAGTTTTCAGTAAATGTGTGGGCAGATATTATTTGCTGCGATTAGATTGGGCCTCATTTTTTCCCGGAAACTAAATGGAGACAACTATTTAGAGTGTCTAGAAAATGAGGAAGTGTCAAAAGTTCAAACTGACGCAGGAGTAATTTCTCAAAATGATGCTGCCCAGCGCACTACCGAGTCAGGGAACATCTAGATAATTGTTTACCTAAAACAATTGTATTGGAAGAGGACGGTAGGTCCCTGGCCTGCTTGATCACCGGGATTGAACCCTATGGATTTCCATCTCTGGAGTCGAGTCAAAGAGCTGCATTACACTAAAAAATAACAACTGGGGAACATATAAAAGAAAAGATTACTCTACTACTAAAAGTTTACGCACTTTAAACATGAATAATAAATTATTTGTTCATAAAGAATGTTTTATTTATAAACCTATTTTTAATTTCATTTAAAACAATACTACCGGGTCTCTGTGAAACCGGACTTCGGTTTGGTTTACATTCTCTAGTTCTGTGAGATAAGCAGGTATCTTAATTCTTAATGTGTACGATTACGATACACCAATAGAAGGGGCGAGTTTAAAAAAAGTGTTACTTAAAATTTCTAAAAATTTCTGATTCATCAGCATGTCCAATTTAGTGAATGATGGATACAATTGATGGTATCGGTGTTTATCGATTGAATAAACATTAAGCTAAGATTAAAACAAGGTTTTATGTACCGATTGAAGCTTGATTTATTGAACTGTTAAATACCAAATTTGGGGATATTTGCCAAAAATCATAATTTACATGATAACTAGAAATTCCAAGACATTTGGTTAGGGTGAACTGCTCATAAATGTGCCTTATGAAGTGGCCTACCCCCCCCCCCCCTCAGGGCTTCGCACCGATCTTCTGAACATTCTGTAAAAACTATTTTGCAAAAAAAACGGGTATAGAATCAACTTTACGAGTATTGTAAATATTCGAGGGTGTGATAATTGTAGATACTTATATTGAGTATTATACTTCACATTTTGTGAACGAAATAGCAAGGAATCGTTTTCGTCAGTTTTATCCTAACATTTTGATTCAATTAATGAGAAATAATATTAAAGTTCTGCGCTATAATAGAGTACCTGCTCCCTAAGTAAAAATGAATCAAAGTACGCATTGGTTTGGGTATGCTAGCGAGTATACGATTCTTACGTTCCAACGAGTTTATTCCTGCCCCAAATTTAATAGAGCCCCCATAAGGTGTTATTTCTTCAAAACATGCCTCAGCAAGGCGTTCTCGTCTTCGTAGCACTCATTGACGTCGGTCTTCAACTTACATGGATCGTTTCTTACCTCTTCGCGGTTGTTCTTGAGGTCCACATACGTAGATTTGCGAATTCTCAACGCTTGACTCATGATGAAACTATCATATTCAGTGCATGGCTTTCTTCTAGAACCAGGTCTTCTCTTGATAAAACCTGTCTCTTGTCAAGTTCTTCGGACTGTCTAATAACTTTTCAGCAGCGCAATAATTTTGCTGACTTACGAGTAACGGCGAAGGTGCGGCCGTCGCCGCGGTGCCACGGCGGAGCCAACAACCAGTGGCGGCTCTAGGGTGGTGCGAGCGGTGCGACGGAACCGTGGGGTGCCGTCATCGAAGGGGCACCGAAATCAACCGAAACGCTACCACCTGGCACCGGTCACCATTTACTCACTCTTATCACTAACCTTCCGTTTTGTTGACGCTAATTAGAAAGTCAAAGCACGAGTATTTTGTTGCTTACAAGCCAGTAAGTGACTCTTCGGAAAAAGGACTTACTTACTCGCCTCTTTTTGATGTAATTGTACAAGTGTCTAAGTCA